TTGCAGGCCTGGCTCCGCTTCCTACCGCGCCCGCGACCCCAACCCAGACGCCCCGTGTCGGAGCAGCCTCCATCGCTCTCCCAGAGGCGCCTGCACTCGGCCCTGCACAGGTCCCGTGACGCCCCGGAGTGAGCCTCCACCTTCCCAGGGTCTCGTCACCTGGGGGCCTAGCCCTGAGGACGAGTGAGACTTTGCCGTTGTTTTCCTTTCTGATTTTCCCAAGCCCAACAACAACCTTCCACTCTGAATGTGGTCCGGGAAAAGTAATCGCTTTCAAGATGAGCCCCTTGGAGATCAAGGATCTCCCTGCCCGGATTCCCTCCGCCGGGAATCCGGTGGGTGTAAACTCCCAGGCCTGGTCCTGCGCGTGCGCACACCGATATTTCTGTTGGTAAAAAGGATCCCCACTCTTAACTCAGGAATCTCCAATTGTTTTGCTCACTCTCCAAGGCTCATATTCTCCTTTAAAAAATCCTCCCTTCCCCGTAGACTACCATAGCCTGCTGACGGAAAGGTCGTTTTTTGTATCCTTTCCCTAAATTCTTCAGGGCCTTTTCTAAAGTTTACTTCCTCTCACACAGGAGAGCTCTGAATAGGGATGTGTGTCTTCTTCTTTCTGTCTTGCCCCAGCTCTGTCCCTTTTGTCTTCCTAGTTTTTTTGTGCAATAGCTTTGGCACAGGCACATAATATTTTAAGTTAGTATTCGCTTGGCCTCAGGATGTCAGTGCTTCCCTTGAAACTGCAAGGCTAGAAACCACTTGAACTTTCCTTACCATAGCATGTTACCATTTTGCTAGGAAGAGATTTTTTTCAGAAGTAGTATCCAAATTTCACTCCTGAAGGAAATGTTTACTGTTGCAAGCTAGACAGGGTTTTCAGCTACTTCCTGTCACCTGGCACACATCTGCATGCCAAGCATCAAGAGATGTCCATAGTGAGCCCCTTTCTGGTGCCAGATCTCTCCAGGAAGCTTGTCAACCTCTCAAGTTCCTGTGGAATTCCACATCGTATCTCTTATTTCATTTAAAAGATCCTCTCAGTTGTGGATTACAGCCTTGATTTCCCTTCTCTTCCCCACAGTGATGTGCATGTACCACACTGTGCCAGGCAGTATACACACTACCCTTTCCAATCAGCAAATGGAATTTTATGACCCAAAAGACCATCACATCTTGCAGTCCTGACTCAGAAAGGGACCCCTCCCCAACCAAGCTGGGTGGTTACAAGTTGTCACATGTCTTTGGAGCTCTTATGTTTGGATAAATGACTCCTTTCTCTTGAGATGTGCTCATTTTTATGCTATACATATAAGTAACCCTCTGGCCTCATGACTGCACAAAGTTGGACAAAGCAGCCAGGCTTAAGTGGGTTCAAGTTGCTAAGAGTCCATCTATGAATTCTGCATGCATTTACATGGGGGAATGCATACACGTTAAGATTACTGGTGCTGCTGCTTCTGTGGGACTCTGCCTCTGTGGTCCCTGAGTAGCCCTTTTAGAATAGTGGAGTGGGCTGGAGGCAAGCCAGCATGAAGAGGTAAGTGGTAACGGCAGGACAGTCAACAGCAAACAGCATGGAGCAGCTGTGTAGTTTCTTGTGAAGCTTCCTGGTAGGAATATCCCAGGCTCGTCCCATAACATTTTTTTTCTCTGCTTTCCAGTTTCTGTAGGGCTGTGGGTGAAACACCACTGTGGACCCTGGAGAGAGGCATTCCCAGCTCATGCTGCAAAACATCAATTAATGAAACTTGGCAGTGTTTGAGGGAGCTCTGTTGCTGTCTATGCAGAGAAGACCAAGGGTCCAGCTGAGTGGAGCAAGTCCCAGGCAGCGTGACATTGGCCACCTGTCCTACAGAGAGACCTGGTGGCAGACCATGTTGTTAGGAGCCAAGGCCTGAGCTTGCTGGAGCCCAGCCACTGAAGGAAGGCTGAGGCAAGAGATTGCTGCAAGTGGGAGGCAGAGCCAGTGAGGGACTGGGCTTGAACCTGGTATCAGCAGATCAGAAGGCTAGAGGGAAGAGGGAGAGAACTAAGGCAGGGAAGGAATAGTGCCAGGCTAGACCACACCAGCCCCTCATGGCCTCCAAGCAGAATGCTGCAAAGGGCAGGGGAGAAAAGCGCAAGCGGGTGGTACTGACACTGAAGGAGAAAATTGACATTTGCACACGCCTGGAGCGGGGTGAGAGCAGGAAGGCACTAATGCAGGAGTACAACGTGGGCATGTCCACCTTGTATGACATCAAGGCTCACAAGGCCCAGCTGCTCAGATTCTTTGCCAATTCAGACTCCAGACAGGCACTGGAGCAGAGGCGCACTTTGCACACGCCAAAGCTGGAGCACCTGGATCGGGTGCTGTATGAGTGGTTCCTGGTAAAGCGTGCTGAGGGCATCCCTGTGTCAGGTCCCATGCTCATCGAGAAGGCCAAGGACTTCTACGAGCAGATGCAGCTGACCGAGCCCTGTGTGTTTTCTGGAGGATGGCTTTGGCGCTTTAAGGCCAGGCATGGCATTAAAAAGCTAGATGCATCCAGTGAGAAGCAGGTGGCCGACCACCAAGCAGCTGAGCAGTTCTGTGGCTTTTTTAGGAGCCTGACTGCTGAGCATGGGTTGTCCCCTGAGCAGGTTTACAGTGCTGATGAGACTGGTCTTTTCTGGCGGTGCTTGCCAAATCCCAACCCGGATGGTGGAACCATACCCAGCCTCAAGCAAGGCAAGGACAGACTGACTGTCCTGATGTGTGCCAATGCCACGGGCTCCCACAGAATCAAACCCTTGGCCATCGGGAAGTGTGGTGGCCCTAGGGCGTTCAGAGGCATTCAGCACCTTCCTGTTGCCTATAAAGCTCAGGGTAATGCCTGGGTAGACAAGGAGATTTTCTCAGATTGGTTCCATCACATCTTTGTCCCCTCGGTGCGAGAACACTTCAGAACGATAGGTTTGCCTGAAGACAGTAAGGCCATTCTCTTGCTGGACAACTCCCGGGCCCATCCACAGGAGTCTGAGTTGGTATCTGATAACATTTTCACCATCTTCCTGCCTGCCAGTGTGACCTCCTTAATTCAGCCCATGGAGCAAGGCATTCGAAGAGACTTCATGAGGCACTTCATTAGCCCTCCCCTCACTCTGCAGGGCTTCCATTCCCGCTACAGCATGAACGATACAATTTTCAATGTGGCCTGTGCCTGGAATGCCGTGCCCAGCCAGGTCTTCAGGCAGGCCTGGAGGAAGCTGTGGCCTGCAGGCGCCTTCACTGAAGGCTCATCGGAGGAAGAGGAAGTGGCAGCAGAACACTGTACCTCTAAGCCTCACCATAAGACTTTTGCCCACATCCTTGAGCTGGTGAAAGAGGGCCCCTCCTGCCCGGGCAGTAGGCTTCAGAACATTGGGACAGAGAAGCAGGGCACAGTTGGGAGGGAGGTGGGTGAGGCACACACTACTACACCACCAGCCCAGGCCGATGGGCATGCAGAAGAAGGAGAGCGTGGCACTGAGGAGGACGACGAAGCAGCCTGGGAGCAGGCAGCAGCATCTTTTGAAGCTATTGTGCACTTTGCTGAACAGCAGCCATGCTTCACCATGCAGGAGGCAGGGCAGCTGGATGCGCTACACTCTGTATTCAGGCAACAGTGGCAGCTAAGACAGCGGCGGGTTGCTCTGAGAGCTGTGGTCAAAATTGAGGCCTTCCAGGAGTGCCCTGCTGGTGGCACAGGCTCAACACTTTCCCCCTTGCCCTGCTCATCTACAGCAGGTGATCACTGATGATACCCTGCAGCTGGGCTCCCTAGAGTGGGCACATGCTCAGGCGCCCATAGCTCTCACCAGCTGCTATATTACTCAGGAGGCCTGGCCCCACGGTGTTCCAGCTGACCAGGGGTTTTCTGTAACACTGGTCATATGACCTGAATGGGATGAGACCTGCAAGGAGACCCCCTACCTGAAGCACCTCCGAATCTTCTGTAGCTGCAGATGGGGCCAGGCTGGGCCATGTATGTCAAGGGCAAGGCATGTCTGCCCAAGAGGAGAAAAGCAGCATGCTAGCCCCAGAAGGGTTGGGCTGCTGGGCGTTCCTGTGTAGGGTGGACCCCGAGCCTGGTACCTGAAGGCAGGTTGCCAAGGACTGACTCAGATCACCTCTAGTGCCATTATAGAGCACTTGTGGCTACATAGGCAACAAACAAAACCCTCTTACAGGTGCCTACTTCAGCCATGGTCCTAAACAGACTAGCATCCCCTGTGGCCAACAGGCCTCACAGCTCAGGTGTGAGCCCCACTGCAGCTGACAGGGTGGGATGGGTTTCTCTATAGAGTTAGAGCTACCTGGCCAGGTCCTCTCATCCCCAGGGACCATGGACACTGCTCTTTTCAGCCTTTGGTTCAAAGGCCAGTGCAAAGTCCATATTCTATGCTCTCCTGAATTTCATGGTTACAGCCTTTATGTGGAGAGATCTTGATGAGATGTTCCAAAATTAGTCCTAGGTTTGCACTGAGCATGGTAAAACAGGCTGTTGGGAGCTCCAGCAGTGTTCGAGCTTTTATCCTCAGCTAACAGGTTAGTAATACTACCAGTGAAGGCATATCCACATGGGTTGGTTTCACAAAATCATTGTGAAAGGATGCAGTTAGTGATTTCCCCAGACCTTGTAGCTGATTTGTAGCTTCTCATTTTATGGCCGCCTGTACCATCATTTCAGCAGGCCCTTTGTCCGTGGTCATTAGCGCTTCTGAATGTACATGAAATAGGTGTATTTTTCTATGTTCTTTCACTGCTTTCCCCTGAACTCCATTCACTCTCAGATTCGCGTCATGGTAACTGAATCGACACCTAGTTTTCATTCCATTGTTCACTAGTTATTCCACCAAGACTTGCTCCCAGGATCCCATGAAGCCAAGGGGACTTGGGGGAGAGTGGTTTGCAATTCTTACAACTGTCCAAATGCTGAGGCCATAGTCATTGCCTCTGTAACACTAGAGGCCATGTGTGTTTCTTGTTTTAAAGGCATGTGTGAAGACTATAAAAATCAGATAGTTTTCAGAGGTTTTGTGCTGATTCTTTGGGCCCTGCTGCCTCTGGTCATGCTGCTGTCACACCATTTCCTTCCCATATCTGGGGCGATAATGGCACTGTGTGCCATTTCTGGCTGTCGCCAGAGTCTTGAGTTGCAGCTGCTTGAGGTGCTGCAGGAGGTAAGAGGTCAGGGCTCACTGGTTGCTGGCAGCACCAAAGGACAAATTACCTACAGGATGTCATATGTCACCTCAGGTTTGAGGTAGAGCTGCTGGAGCTTTGGTGGACCTTGCCAGGTCCCTTGTAGATGGTTTACACTCATGAGATTTTCCATCTGAGGACCAGATCTTCCCCTCACTACCTGCTCCTGTTCTGACTATTATGGTCTGACTGTCAGAATGATGTCTGGCCTCCGAGCACTCCTTCCAGAGCCAGCTGAGGGAACAGCCCCTCTAGTTGGATCCCTTGTGCCCCACTGGGGTTCTTTTGAGGAGTAGGATCTGGGCCGTGCACTCTGCCTCCACAGAACACTTGGTAGCTTCCTCATTGGCTTGCCACTGGATGAATAGAGTATACAGTGTACAGAAATGTCAGGTGCATGTGTACTGTGGAGGCCCAGAGCTGCTGCTTATCTGGGCCCAGGTGCCCAACAAGCATTCCCACCTCTGCTACCTTCTGGATTCCTCACAGAGCCTCCTGTGCCCTCCAAACATGTTTGTCCTTCATTTGTGACTAGCTTCTTAGGTGCTGTAGCTGTGCTATGTGTTAGCTTTAGAATCTTTTCCTGGTTTTAGGTGGACTTGCTACCAGAAGCTGAGATAGCTGGTTGGACCCTGTTTCCCCTTCCCCTCCACAGACCTGCAAAAGCTTTTGGGAAGCCCCCAACTTCTCCAGAGCAGGGTGAGCTTCCTGGTCCCATTTAAATGCTTACCCTTCCCTGGGAGCCTGGTTGAGCCCAGCCCACCCCACCACCCCCCATCCCCACTGTTAGGTACTGCATGCAATCCTCTTAGGTCCCCTGGCTATTCCCTTCCTACTAGTGGAGACCAACCCTGTGTTCACTTTTGGGTGCCTCCTAGCAGCCAGGAGCTGGTGTGCATACACTCTTGTGTGCTCCTAGTGGAAGGCCCTTGGGGGTGGTAGCCATCTCATGGTGACATACCTGGCCCCTTCCCCCTGCACACATTTCCTGAGTCCTTGTCAAGGACCAGCCATGTTGCCATTGAGGACCCTGCAGGCCGCTCCTGGGAGGTCTGACCCCAGGTTCCTGAAGCTTGGGTTAACAGCACATTCAGGGCTCACTCCAGGCCGGGGCTGGCTACTCTGCCCCCACTGGGGTCTTGAGGCCCCTTGAGGGGTCTCCATTCTCAGTGTGACCTCTCCAGTCAGGTAGTCAGGTATAGTGCCTGGCCAGTGCTGCCACATTGGAATCTAGGAGAGGAGGCCCTGAGTGTGATGGGAGGTTAGGACTCCACAGTGCAGCTCTCCTTATGTAAGACAAGTGGCTTGTGCTTCTGGGGTGCTGGGTGGAATGTGGAATGCAGTCTCACCTGTTTCACAGGTAGGTGGTTTTAAGGCTCTTTGTCCTGAGAGTTAGTGTCTAGAGTGCTGGGGCCTGGACTGCCTGGCATTCTGCAAGTGTTAGAGAAGACCATCCTGGCTGGTAGCTAGTTGGAGGCAGCTGCTCCCTGCCTGTGGGAGAATGGAATTCCTGTTGGGTAGAGCAGCAAATATAATGGTGTGGGTCACCTGTGAGGATGCATCATTCCCAGGCAGCCAGCCCCAGCCATTGTCCATGGCAAGGAGTGTGAGAAGACCGAGATCACGGCTTTTGTCTGATGGGTGGAGCAGGGCAGCAAAGTTTGGGCCAAACCAGGATCCATCCCCATGACTTCTGTGGGAACACATAGCTGCTCTGGGAGGAGGCAACACAGGCCCTGCCCAGCACAGCAAGTGTCCTGGCATATAAATGAGCTTGGGTGGGGGGATGTTCTGGGTACAAGTGTCAGGACTGGGTGGTCCTGTAGCCTGGCTTACTATGGAACCATGAAGGATAGGCAGTGGAGCTGAATGGCAGAGACTGGGCAAGTACCCGTGCTTTCCCATTTGCCCAACACCCTTAGTATTCTACCACAGTGGCTGGAAGGGCATTGCAGGGTCCTCAAGCCTTTGTGTGGTCAGACAACCCCAGGCACCATGACTTGGGTAAAAGAGATAAACCATGGAGCTGTTGTTTGAGCAGTGGGGGCTCTGAGGGCCCAACAGTAGCCTCACCAAAGCAGAGATCCCTAGGCCCCACCCAGAGGCTCCTGTGGAGTTGTGAAGTCCAGAACTTCTGCCCACCCTCCAGCAGTGCTGGATAGTGCTCTATCCCTGTCGGACCCCTCAGGTGTGGGATGTTAGACCTGTGACCTCTATCTCCAAGATAGCCATATTACAGACTGCTCTTGTGTGTCCCCCCAAAGTAACTTCTTTGAAGTCCTAACCCCCAGTGGGATAGTGTCAGATGGGAGGCTTCTGGTCAGTGATTGGGTTTAGGTGAGGTCACAGATGACAGATTAGACCCCTTACAAGAAAAGGAGATTAGAGCTTTGCATTCAGCAGAATGTATGCTGTCTGCACACCAGGAAAGGTCCTTTGCAGACACCTGATCTACTAGCATCTTAAAGGCACTCCAGCCTCCAGAACTGGAAACAGTCAGATCCTGTTACTTAAGCCACCTGGTCTGATCTTTTGTTACAGCAGCCTTAAGGGACTGAGACACACAATAAGGAGAGGAAAGGTTCTAGCCAGCCCTGCCATCATCTAACAATGTCAGCCATGGGCCTGGCAGGGGGGTCTTGGGATAAGCGAGAGCTGCCCCCCTCCTAAAGGCTCACCAGTGTACTGGGCAATGGGATGGATCTACCCATTTCACCTTGACCTGGGCAGAGGAGATACGTGTGGAGCCAGGACCTGCTGGGTGGCTGTTGATAGAGATTCTAATCAGCTTCTACACAAGTGAGCCAGGTAAAGAATAGTCTGATCGTGGCAGAGCCAGGCTCTTTGGCCACATGTATCTCCTGGTGGGGCCACAGGTCTCTCCAGGTTTCACAACAGCAGTGCCAGCCTTCCCACATAATATCTGTTTCCAGCTTCCTGTGAAAACTTCCATGGATACTTGTGTATCTTCTACTCTGCTCCCTTCCCCCATTCCTTGTGCTAAGTTCCAGTCTCAGTACGGGGTCCTCAGACAGGTCCCCTGCTGCTCTGGCTCAGGTCACCTTCTCCAGAGACAGGAAGACCTGGGTACTCATGGACAGGCAAAAGCAGGGCATGGAGTACAGCTGTAGGCCAGTGCTAACCTAACCCCTTTCTTTCCCTCTGGTCTCCTGAGGTCCTAGTCCGAGTCCTGTGTGGCACCAGGGCCAGCCTGCTCTCTCTGTGTCCCCCTGCCTTCTTCCCACTTATTCCTGCAGGCCTGCTGGCTTCCTCAGAGACTGTTTCCTATACAGGAAAAGAGATGGGCCTGGGATGCAGAGGGCTCTACTTGGGTTGAGTGGGGATACCCCTGAGGCCCACCTGCTTCAGCCAAAGTGATCCTCACGGCTGCATGCTGGCCATGTCCCCACTCCCCTGCCCTGGGTTGGGGAGCCACCAGGCTGCTTACCAGGCAATTCTGCCAGGCCTTTAATGACAGAAGCCTCCTTAGATGTGGACAGGTGGGTAGGGCTGTCCTCTCTCCTGGACTTGCAGGGTGTGAGTTCTTCACAGTTGTCTAGGGAGGGTTGCTATGCCATGCCTGGCAGAGACAGGAACAGGATAGGGGACCATGGTTGTCACTGTCACCTGCGCATTACCCATAGGGACTCAGTAGAAGGAGCTGCTGAGGACGAGCTACTGGGAGGTGATGCTATAATTAGACCCAAGTCTATGGGACCTGGGGCTGGGGTCATCCTTTTCTGACACTGGCCCTTAGTGAGGGGATACCCCAAATTGTGTATGTGGCAGCCATGACAGGAGTGGGGAGGCAGTAGGTCTAGGGCTGTGGAAATAGCCTGTTCTCCTCTCATTTACAGGAAGCTCTCTGCCTGCTTGTCCTCACCTAGTGTTGGCCCTCTGCTAGTCATATCCCTGTTAATGGGACAGTACATATTAGCACAGAGTTTTGTTTTTCTCTGTAAGGTCTGCAGTGCTCCTTTTTCAGTAACAGGAATAGCTGCAATTTATGAAGACACATGAATCTCTTTTGGTTCCAAATATGGGCCACCAGGTCCCTCTGCACCTTATTGTTTAACTGAAGAGCAGTGTTTAAAATAATGGAGAAGAGAGCTCTGGGAATGGGTAGCTTAGAGAGGACCCCCTACTCCACATGGAAGTGGAGTCATGGCAGGGGTGGGGGATGTGCCAGGGTAGTTGTAGAACCTTCTGGCCTCCTTGGACTTGGCCCAGCCCTGGTCTAGGTAATTCTTAAACCAGAGTTCCTCTTCAGCCAAGCAACCCTTGGCCTCCTCCTTAGCACCCTGGACATCCCATCTTCATGTATTCCTAGAACCAAATGGTCCACTTCTCACTGGCCACAGGGCTCCAACCTCTAACACCTCTCCCATGCCCTGTCCACTCCCAGCCGAGGCATAGACACAAGGCCCTGCCCCACAGGGTCCTGCCCAGCCTGGAGGCAGCCTTCCGTACAAGATGGAGAGTTAGGTCCACAGCTCTCTCTCTCTCTCTCTCTCGGGGGGGGAAAAAAAAAGACTTACAAAATGTTGCTTTTCTACTTGCAGATAAAATGAGTGAAAAAGCCAGGCATTCTATTGAACTCAATCAGAGCTCTCATTGATTGAATTGTCTCCCCTCATGCCATCTATTGGGGCAATAAATGCATTATAGGGTCCTCCTCCACTAGTATTTATATCTGTGTCCTTTGCTTGAGTCCTCAAGTCAGCCTTGGGGGATCCCTTGAACCAGGGCCAAGTCAGGGTCTCCATTCTGCCTTTAAGGGCACCACCTCTGTGCAGAGCATAAAGCCACAAAAATGTGGGTGCCACCCTGCTCCTGGTGGGCAGGGGATTGGGCAATAACCCTCTTGTCATATTTTCCCAGGGGCTCACCACCCGCCACCCATCCGTGCGTGCTGCTACTTGTGTGCATGTGATGTGTATGTGCCAGAAGCCAGCACACCCACCAGGACTATCTGTGCCCACCTGCCTCAGTCTCTGCCAAAATCAACCCAGGGACATTTTCCTTCAGACTTAAGAGCATGACAGGTTCATGCCCTACTGATGCAAGAGTGCACAGCTTGGTGGCTCCTTTTCATTGTCCTCATTTGAAATTGCAGGAACAAATTCCCAAATCCCAAGAACTCGCCCAAGCTTTGGGCAGCCTGATCCTTAGCCACAACCCTTCATGGCACAGGTGAGCAGTGAGTCCTATCTGACCCATTCCCACCAGGGAGAACCTTGCCCTTGGTATCTGCTTGGCCCAGGCCCATCCACACTTGTACTTGATAAAAACAAATGGATGAAGGGGTACCCACAGCTCCTAGTTTGCTAATCACCAAAAACCCCACCCTGACCGCCTGGTACCCACATGGTATGCCAGCTGTGTGCTGGGCCCATGATGCTGCTGGTTCACAGCAGGTTAAGTGCCTCTCACAGTGAGCAGCCAGGCCCCCACAGCCTCTACACTGTGATCAAAGGCTTCTGGGGCTTTCTTATTGATTGGATTTTATTTGCTGACATTAAGTGTCACTGTAGACAGGCAGGCAGGCTTGGCTTCCTGGTTCATAAATGGGATCAGAGTGTTATTGTGAGTCCTTTGAAAGCATCACAAAGGACAGCTATGCCTGTCACCTGCCTCTACTGTTTAATCTTGTACCAGCTGCTGTGGCTTCTGCAGCCCTCCCAGGCCTCCCCACCCCTTGAGCCCTCAGCTGGGCTATTGTTGAACTCGAAGTCTGTTTATAGGCCATTCACATACTGAAAACCAAGGGGCGCTGCCTAGAGTGGTAAGCCAGGGTTCAGGACTCTGTATCTATGAAGCATGCCAAACAGGCAAAACCAGAAACAGAAGTAGGGTCCTGGGGGCTGGGTGGTGGGGAGTCCTTACTTAATTGGGTAGAACCTCTCTTGTGGAAATGGTAGTGGTGAATGCAGTAAGATTGTTCCCTCACAGTGGCTACAGCAGTGCCATTTATTAAGTGTGGTTTAAACTGCCAAAGCTGACAGACAATGAGAGGGCCCCGGTATCTGGAATGTGGACAGGAAGATTTAGAGGAGAGTACAGGGCCACGAAGAGCCCAGCAACATCAGGAGTCCTGCAGGCACACAATGGACTGTAGGGTCACCAGAGCCAGGACTGAGTCACTGGGGAGAAATACACACCTGATTCTCTTGTCCAGCCTCACTATCTCTCCATCACCCACCTGGTTGGAGCTCAGTTGAAACCTGCCTGGAAGGACAGAGGCTACATCCCATGGCCAGCCATGTAGCCAGGAAGAATGGCCAGGGAAGGGGAGTGGAGCCCCTGGGGGCTATCCAGGACTTTTCCCTGTCACTCCATCACTGCCTACCTGCTGTGGGTCCTGCACTGCCACATCCCAATGCTCAGTCCATGGGGTAGATTTGGGCCTGGAAAAACCAGGGAGGAGCCAGACCACAGAGCCCAGGGTCATATCTTTGGGGGGATGGCATGGATGGGGTGAGCCTGGTGTGTAATCTCCAGGCTCCAATTGCGTCAGGCCTGCCACTGGCTCCCCTGGCCAGGGAAACTTCTCCCTCTTTTCTCTGCAGGCTCTAGGGATACCATTGTAAATAAGAACATTGGCCTCTGGCCAGAGTCCCAGACAGAAGGAGGCAGATGAGGAGAGAGGCCTTGACCAATTGCTGTATGTTTGCCATGAGCTCAGATGTCTGTGGGCTTGGGAAAGGTAGACATCAGCTGCAGTTGGGGACCATGTTCTGAGGACAAGGTGCTCAGCATCTGGCTGTCCAGGGAGATGGCTCTGGGCCTGCATCTCCTCTCAGGTCCTGCTTGTATATTCACAAGGACCCTGACAGGCTCATCTCCCCAAGCAGCCAAGAATGTAGCCAGAACACATAGAGATCTGACTCCATGTGACAAAGGCAGAAATCTGTGAGGTTAAACAAAAACATGGCAGCATGTCCACCTCAAAGCTGTAACTTTGTTGGGCTCAACCAATGAACTTCGTCACTCATTCACTTCAGTCACTCATTCCTTCACTCATCCACCAACCTATCAACCCACCCATGTGTGCATGTATTCACCCATGTACCCGCCCTTCCGTCCACCCATTCATCTGTTAAACTATCCATCTATCCACTCATCTCCCCATCTGCTTGCTCCTCCATCCATCATTTATTTGTCCACCCAGTTGTACACATTCCATCTACATACCCATCTGTCCATTCATTGACCTACCCACCCATCTACCCACCCACTCATCCTCCCTCTGCCTCTCCATGCCTCCATCCATCACCATTCAATCACTGACCTGTCCTTTTGTCTCTGTCTGTCCATCTGATACTGTGACCATTAATCATGATTGTCAACTTGACTAGATTAAAAAACTCCTAGTAGATTAGTAAAATACACTTCTGGATGTGTCTTTGGGGTGTTTCCAGAGATGATTGGCATGTGGGCCAGAAAACTGAAAGGAAGACTCAACCTGCTTGGACATGGTACCATCTAATAAACTTGCAGCCCAGATGAAATAAAGGAGGAAGAAGAGAAAGTCAACCTACATATGTAAAGCTCATGCTGCATGAGCAGGGACATCTTTTGTTACTGCCACTGCCTGTGGACATCAGACTCCAGCTTCTTCAGCCTTTCAGTGTGAACTCATTATCAACAACTCTTCAGGGAACTTCCAGGCCTTCATTCTCAGACTAATGCCACATCCTGGATCCCCCTTGTTCTGTGACTTCCAGCTTGTGTTAAGCAATTACTGCACCCTCTGACTGTCCAGAAGATGGCCATTGTGAACTCTTCTGGCCTCTGATTCTGTAAGCTTACACAATAAATCTCCTTTAAAAAAGTACCTTTCCTCTAGAGAAACTAACCAACACAACCTCCTGAAAACAGCTGTGTTTCTCTTACCTGACACCAGAGCTCACAATGCATTCCTTGTCGGTCATTTGCTCTGATGTCATAACTCCCTCACCAGACATTCCCACCTTAGTGATGGAGAGTGGGAGCCCAGAAAGGGGCAGCAAGGTTGCAGTTTGGACTAGCTGAGCATTGGAATGTCTCCTTGACCCTGTTGAGCCTTCCTCTTCCTCCTCTTCCTCTTCCATCTTGACGTCAACTCTGTTCCTGGGGCACAGGCTATACTAGTTTCCTCCTTATATCCTACAGGTAAGAATTTTTTCAGCGTATTTTACAGATGGAGGCCTGCAGCCCCAGGGGCAGGGTGTGCCCCTGTGTCCATTCTCTCAGATGCCCATTAGGAAGGTGGGCAGTCCTAAGGCTTCTAAGTCATCCAATGGCCCACCCACTGCCCTTTGAAAGTCACCAGGGCCCTCCAGTGATCAAGCCTGCCAAGTCTGGGAGCTGGAGAAAGGTGGAGGAACCTCATCATGGGGTCAGAGTCTTTCAGTGATGAAAAGTCCCAGGCCCCAGGCACACAGCCACCTGGAGTCATGGTCATGCTCCTAATTCCTGTAGAGTACTCCACCTCCCAGACCATGCCCAGACAATCCCAGGGCTGGCTTTTTACCCTGGAGTCCCCTGCTCTGGGGTTTCTATTCTAGTTCTAGTGCTGAGATGCAGCCTGAGCTATCTGTGGTTCACCAGGGGAGCTCTTGCCACCCCACCATCCCAGAGCCACCATGTTTTGGGGCCAAATCAGCATCACTGCATCTACCTGGGACTGTCCTGGCCTCTCTGGCCTGGCTGTGTGGTCCCCATCCTCTGGATGCAGAGCAGGCTGTAGCCATTCCTGGGGGCTTGGTGCCTCTCATCTTCACTGTTTCTTCCACTTCCATCATGGATCATCTTCAAACTTTTATTGAGTACCTGCAGTGTTCCAGGTCCTTGCCTGGGCCTTGGCATCCTCTGAGGGTTTGTGATGTGAAAAACATACATGTCCCAGGGCAGTCACCTGAGCTCAGTGAGCAATGCTGCCTCCCTGCTCCACATCCTCCAGGTCCAAGTCCCACCACCTGGGCCCCTGCCTTCACCCTATTTTCAGCTTGGCCAACGGAAGACATCCACTCTCTAGAGAGAATCTAGAGCTCTAGATCTTTAGAGAGATGGAAGCGTGCTGGCTAGGTTTCTTGGGAAACTGATGCTCCCCATTAATTGAGGCCGGCATCCTGAAGACCTAGGTCCCATCCCTGCACTATACCCTTTGCCAGGGGGTAGGCCAGAAAGCCACACTGGGCATTGCATAGGTGGGAACAGCCCCTGGCAGGGGAAGTGTGAGCAACAGCCCAGTCCAGACCACAAGATCACAATCCTCTTGGGTCTTTTTTGGAGTACAGGTGACCTTGAGATCAAGACAGTGGGAAGCAGGAGCTCAGGGCCACAGGGATCTGCAGGCTTGCTTTTCAGGTGGTCCTCCTGCCCTGTCACTGCTGGCCCATTGCAGAGGAAAGGGAGGCTCCTTTAATATGGGAGGGACTTGCCCAGAGTCCCAGGGGAGGGAACCCAAGGAGCAGGTACATAGTGGGCTGATGGCCATGAAAGAGGGTTTATACTGTTCCTTGGCTTAAGAGCCTGGCAATCAGTAAGTCCTGGGGCCAAGAGCTGAAGGAGTTCCTGTTGCCTGCTCAGCCACCAGCTCCCTACATCTCACATAGCCCAAGGCTATTGACTTGCTGCCTCCCTGGAGGAAGTGGTGCCTGGGCTGCTACCAGCCTCCTCTTGTCCTGGGCCACCCAGGCTGCTGTGGAGATCATAGTCTGGCCCTGGGCACCATCAGTCATTGGCTTGAAGGGTGCTCATAGGACCAGGACCTGGCTTCCCTCCCCTGGGGACTCAGACCCCTCGGCAGGGGAAAGAGGAGTCTAGGAAGATGGTGCCACTAGCTCAACATTGTCTCTGGCTTGGAATGCTCTTCCCTTCATCAAGATCCAGTAGACCCCTTTGGCTGCCCAATCTCTGTTCCACCTTGGCATCACCTCCTGTCATCCCTGAGCAGCTCTTACTTTCAGGACTTTGTGCTCCTCAGCTTATCTGGCCCTGTCACCCTTGGAGGTTGATGGGTGGATTGAGATGCTGCTGTGTGGACTCTTGAGGTTCACACAGCTCAGGGGGCATTGGAAAACCCAAGACAGTCATGTGGGTCAGTGTGATCAGTGTGACAGTCAGAGCTGCAGCCACAGTGAGCACTGGGGCTGTGGAGGAGGGGGCTCTGAGCAGGGCCCTGTTCTTCTAAGGGGCTCTGTGGTTTGATAGGGTTTGTGTGTCCCTCAAGATTCATGGGCTGTAGCTTGGTCTCCAGTATAATGATGTGAGACGATCTTTAAGAGGAGGGACCTAGTAGGAAATCTGTAGGTCATGGGGATCCCTCCCTTGGATAGGATTAAGGCAGTCCTCATGGGACCCTGGTTAGTTCTTGCCAGAGAGTTGATATCGAGACCAAGACTGACCCTTTTCCCTCTCTCTGGCTTCCTATCTTGCCATATGACCTCTCTCTTGCATGAGTTCCCACCATGATGCTATGTGTCATGAGACCCTCATCAGGGCCAAGACAATGATGGTAACAAGCCACTGAACCTCCAAAACTGTGAACTAAATAAACTCTTTCTTTATAATGTTCCAAGCCTTGGGTAGTTTGTCACAACAACAGAAGATGGACAAACATAGGGGTCCAGGATTCTGTAATCTGTGGGTGAATCTCTGCGTGTGCCTCCCTCCCTCTTAGTATTACCGAGATGTGGGCAGCTGGCCTCAAGTCCTGGATGAAGCCATAACTGTGCTGGAGGCATGGTCTCAGGCACACCCCCCCCCCAGGTGTTCATCTGATTATCCATCTGAGGATGCAGCTCAGCACAGCCCTTGCAACCTGGCCCAGTGGTGCCCCAGAAGGGGACAGCCAGTCTCATCTGCAGACTGCTTGTTTCTGCTTCTCAAATAGCATGCTTATACCTGCCTCTGGGCCTTGGCACAGGCCTTCTTCTCAATCTGAAAGATTCATCCTGAGCCTTTAGGTGGCTGGTTCCTTATTACCCTTCAGGCTCACCTCATTATCCACACTCTAGAGGTTCCACTGGACACTCCACAGCAGTGGGTCTCCCTCTGTGTAATCCGGGCTGGACTGACTACTTTCTCTGATTGCTTAAAGTCCCCCCAGCAGAGGTTTCCTGGAGCAATCTACTTGCACCACAGGTGACCCAGGGCCTCAGACACTCAAAGCCACAGAGAGGAAGTAAGGCCCACCGGGAATCCACCCAAGACTATGTAGGAGCAAAACCACTGTAAAAGAACAGGTGTTAGTCCATTAGAGTAGCAAAAGAATGGTGGGCTAACTTAGATCCAGGTGCTAGTTTCATTGGGGAATAGTAATGCTGTGTTGTTTTCCAGAAACCAATAACAAAGTCCTTTCAGGTGAAATGATGTGACTGGGTTTGCTCCAAGATACTCCAGGAAGAGCAGGAAAGGACAGACACAGAGAGAACATTTGATGGAGGTCTGGACCTGAGCACTCTCATACTGGTCCTCTTCCCTTGTGTGCCAAGTTCACCATAGTGAACACCTTCCTCATACTGCCAGGGAGGAGGCTGCACCCTGCCAAGAGCTCTAGCTCTCAGCATCCACTCACTGAGGGACTTATGACAACAGGAGCTGCGCTGTACCCACACCGGAAAGGGCTCTCAGGCCACCCAGGGCACATTCCTCTTGGCAGGCTGTGTCCCGGGCTTTATCCCGGAAGCCTTTTGCTGGCTGACGCCAAAGTTCCCAGACACAAAGGCCTCTTTCCGCTGCTGCAGAGGAGGCTGGATACCTGGGAGGTGAGTCAGCCAGTGAGGGTGGTGAGTAACTGCCTGCGTCAGCTGCACCTGTGAGGGGAGCATCAGGAAGGGTCTAGGGAGGAGGAGAGGAGAGAGAGGGAGGGAAGGACGGAGAGCAGTGGAGGGAGGGATGGACTGGGCTCCAGGATCTGAGCCACCTTCTTTCATTTTCTCCCTTCCCTCCTTTCCTCTCTGTCCCCTCTGCCTGGCTTTACCTTCTGCACCTTGGGAACCTGTTCAGCCCCCATGTCATGGACAGCCAGAGCTCCAGCCCCGTGCCTAGGCCCTCCTGAGTCAGGGGTGCCCACATGTCTGGGTCATGCAGGGCACAGGCAGGAGTCTCACTGTGGGCCAGCCCTGGGCATCCAGTGAGCTGGGGTGTGCAGACACAGTAGGACACCGAACTGCAGTGTCTCCTGGTGTCTAGGCTCATTGACAGCAGCCCAGGCAGCTCATTGACAGCCAGATTAGTTGTTACCATCAGTCACAGCCTCTCCAAGGACGGACTTCCACCTGGGAGCAAAGGCAATGCTGCCAGGTATAAACATTCCCACCTCTCACAGACCAGGGCACTTCTATGTTCTCTCTGAGACAATGCAGTGTCCCCTGCTGGCCTCCTGTGGAACTTCCAGTGGACCAACCACATCTGAGGTCTGGCAGTGATTGTTGGATATGGATCAATAGGGGCTGATAGGGGACCAAGAGAGAGTAGGATCAGACCACCCCTGACCCCTGACCCTGACCATGATAACACACTGAGTTTTGACCCTGTCACACACTGACTCCTCAACCTGGCCACAGGCTGAACCCTGATGCTGCTAATAGGCAGTCTGAGCCCTAATTATAATATTCAATCCCGATCCCAGTCACAGTCCAAATCCTGGCCCTGATCACATACTGAGCCCTAATCCTGGTCATAGGCAGAGCTCTGATCCTATTCACAGGCCTAGTCCTGACCCTCATCATACTGATCCTAATCCCACTCACATGCTGAGCTGTGACCCCTCTCTTCTGTGAATCACACGGGAAGGCAGAGAGCTGGGAATCCCACTGTGTTTTGTTCTTAGAAGCCTGAGCTATCCCTGCCTTTTCCCCACGTGTGACTAAGTGCTGTCCTTGGCCACAGTCTGTTTCCCACCTCCACCACAACTCCACACCAAGTGAGGCTCCAGGCCCTCTAAGTGACAATCAGCCTCCTGGGGGTGGGTGGGTGACTGGGGAGCTGACTCACTATACAGTGGGAGAGAGTATGAATGCCATAGCTGAGTCCCCATTCCAGACCCAGGGCTGCTGCCTTCTGCTGGGGTGGGCAGGGATCCTGGGGCTGAGCCAAGACCCCTCCACTCTGGGCTGCAGAACACCTCCCCTACTCACTCACTGGGGCCTCTTTGCTACAAGGGTCAGGAGGTTGTCCTGAGAAGAGATGGGGGACAGTAGGCCTGGGAATGGCACTCCTTGTTGTTTCCTGAACATACCTGCTCCTTGAGGGTCCCATAGACATGCTGGGCCTAGCACCTAGGGGTGGGGTGCAGATGTAGTACAGACTTTCCCAGAGGGGCCAGTGAGCTAGGGGGAGGCCTTGAGAACTGGAGAAAGTAATCCTGGAGGGGGTGGGGCCATAACCTAAGAGGAGGCCATGGTCTAGGAGGGAGGAGGGTCATAATCTGAGGGGGTGTGGCTATGGTCCAGGAGGGTTCGGACCATGGTCCTGAAAGGGAAAAGGCCCTAGAGAAAGCCCTGCCCTGGAGGGGGTGGGGGCAGGACCAAAGTTTAGCAGGGGATAGAGTTATGGTCCTAGAGTGGGTGAGGCAGCCTCCAGGAAGGCTGGACCCTTTTATGAGTTCTCTATGTGGTCAGGGCTATGCAGCTGGGCTTTTTTGAGACTGCAGTTGTGAAATGGGTGGCTCAGCAGCGCGGGGGACAAGGAGTCAAAGAGGTGAGAGGCAAGGACTGAGCTTATTCTGGCCAGTGAGCTCTGTGTGGCCCCATGGGGGAGGGGGAGCAAGACTTTCATCAGACTCAGATGCCCTGGACTTTGCAGCATGGGCCTGGCGCAGTAGGGCAGGCAGACCCCTGGAGAGCCAGGGACAGCCTGTGTTGCAGATTTTGCCATTGGTGGGATTCCAGCAAACCTCTGAGAGGAGACTATTCTAGAAATTTTCCAGGGAAGGACCCGGAGAGAGCAAGGGCAGAGGTGCCCGCTGCCCCCACCCTCTGCACCCCCCTTCCCTCTGGGATCCACTATTTCTTTGGGATCTCTAGAGAGAGAGAGGGGCTGGGTTCAGATAGTCCAGCAGTGGTTGCCGGACAGGGGAAGGGTGGGGTGAGGTGCAGGGCCCTATTCGAGGTGCTGAAGGGTGGGCGGCTTGTCTGAGGGGAGCTGTTGTGGCCTGTGTGTGCCCGACTGTGCGATGCACACTTGCATCACTTGACACGGAGGCAGAACCCTTCCTTCCTGCCCGCCAATCAGTCAGGACAGGTGCTACTCATACCTCTCCTGTCCCCTTGTCTCCATTCTTGGACCTCAGCCACAGGAACTGACGTGGTTTCCTCATATCCCACAGAGAGGTAGGGGGAGGGTGCATGTACAAGCCCCACTCAGGAACAGGCCCCATCTGTGCTGTCTCTGCCCTGCAGCCTCTCCCCCAGGCAGGAGGTGCCCAGGCACATGGCAGTTCAAAGAAGTCAAGGCCCACCCTCTGTAATCAGCACCCAGAAATGTCAGGTGAAGGAAGGACCGAGGAGCCCCTGTCCCCACTGTGGGAAGAGCCACTCTACTCTGCTAGAGGGGATTTTTTGGCTGTGGAGCTTGTCCCAGCTTCCAGGAGCCCTCCTAGCTCTGACCTGCAAGATAGTGGGGAAGGGGTTTGCTTTACCACTGCTGCTGGCATGGGGACATAGAGAGCAATCCCCAGGCCAGCGCATGGACAGCAGCCAAGAAGAGATAGGGTCCCCTTGGCTGTGTGATCCCCAACTCCATCAAAGGACAGTTCACTCCCCTCCCTTTGGAGGACAGAGGGGTGCTATGCCTTACCCAGCCACGTCAAGACTACTGACCCATGACAATGCCAGCAGAACCTGCATTGTGTCCCACACTAGACTCAGAACTGGATTCTGTGGAGAACAAACCCCTGCTTGGACCTCCCTCTGCCCAGTCCTATTGCCAGAACAAAAGGCCTTATCTTAGACTCTGCCTCCAGAAAGCTTGACCTGGGCATGGCTACTCAGTAGGGCACAGCACTGCTAACCAGGTTTCCTCAGAAGTGCTGGGAGATGGTTTAATCTCACACCTTTGTACATCTGACCCAATGATCTCCTCAACCAGGACCTGAGCAGAACACACTTGGACCACTAGTTCAGACCCAGGGCCAGAACCCTTTTTGCTGGATGCAGAGGTGGGCCTCTCTGGGGAGGTTGCTCAGAGAGAGCTCAGGAAGAGGCTGAAGAGGGAGCATGACTTTCCAACCAGAACAGCAGTAGGAGTGAGGGCAGTGATATCATGTGTGTCCCCCTCTCCTCTGCATGGGCTCCTGCTCTTCCTGGGCTGCAAGTGCTGACCCAGCAGAGGGTGGGGCTTCTGGATGCTAGAGCTGGCCTGGGCAAGCATAGTGCTACACTGGCTGAGCAGAGGAGGCTCAGGCCTTTGGTCACTGCCCTCTCTACTATCTCTGGAGCATGCCCTGGGCATCAGTATTCCTCTCTGGGAGGTTATGTGCTGGTTCCTGCCTGAAGCTTTCTTGGCTATAACTCATCTCAAGATGCCTGTTCTTCCCCAAGGTGAAGTCATCTCCAGCTCTTGGCACTTTCTACCTGGTGTAACAGTCACCTGCAAACAAGCCCGAGCTCCTGAAGGGCAGAGATGTGATGAATCATCTCTGGGTTTCCCCAATACATGTCATCATCAAAGAAAGTCACCAATAAACAGCTGTGTAATAAAATAAATAAATAAATCAACACGAAGTCCTTTGACACACAAACTAGGAGTTCAGTGAAGAATCTGATCCTCTGGTGAAAACATGGCAAACCAATCTCCACTCCTGAGACCTCTGGCCTCCAAGTTTCTCCTGTCTCTGCTCCCAGAACTTTGTTCTTCTTGGGCATTCCCGGTGTGGCCTCATGTCCCTGGCCTGAAGAGGAGGTGCTCCATAGGCCCATGCAGCTGATCACAACTGAGGCATGCTCACTGAAGCCACTCTGGCCCGATGCTTAAGACCCCAGAAGCACAGGGCTCCTCCTGGGCCAAGACACTTTTGGAACTCCTGGAGGGTGGTGTCCCAGCAGTAGGTATGCACTGGGCCCACTGAGGTGTGCAGTTGGTTTTTCTGTCCTTGGCCTCAAATCATGAATGAGAGAGGGGCAGAGACAGGGTGGAGTTGGTTGGCTGAGGAGTGGGAGGCTAAAGTGGGTGAGATGGGTGGATAGGAAGTGATTGTTCCAATCATGCATTGATGTATGCTGATGATGAGAATGGCTGTGATTGGGCAGATGCTGAGCATCGAGAGCACTGGTGATAATGAGAGGAACACTTGTGAGATAAACGGCAACAGTAATGGTAATAAAAGTACAGGTGATAAGGGGCTGGGGATGTAGCCTGGTGGTGCCACACCTGCCTGGCAAGCACAAGGTCTTGAGTTCAATCCCTGGTACCAGAAAAAAAAAATACAAGTGACAGCTGGGCATGGTGTAGCATGGCTATAGTTGCAGCACTCCAGAGGCTGAGGCAGGAAGATTGCTGCAAGTTCAAGGCCACCCTGGGCTACAAAGTGAGTTCAAAGCCAGCCTGAACTACATAGTGAGACTCTGCCTCAAAAACAAACAGAAGAGATAAGAGTGATGGGAAG